TCAAAAGAGGATATGTTGTGAGGCAGTAACTTACTGAAGACAATAGTGGACGGTGGCGCAATTTCGTGAATTGGTTGAAGTTAGACATTAAAACCGTTGGATGCCGAGTCACTGGTCTAGAGGTTAAGCGTTCGCGCACGGGACCGGTAGGTTATGTTCTCGAATTCCGCGGGACGTGATCGTGCTTGCGCACTGCTGAGGAGTCCTATACTGGGACGGAACGGCCGTCCAGTGCTTCCGGGTTTCTCACGGTAATTTAGCTTCAATTGACTCAAATTCAACTAGTAAATGTTTTATTCCTTAGTGAGATCTAGCGTATGTAACTTGACCTTTACTCGTAACCTAATGAATTAATCACCAACTGGTATAAATCAATCTAAACTTTTTATTTGATTAAATAGATCTAAATATATTCGCATAAACTATGTTTAAATTTTACAATTTAGTATTTATACTTCATTTATCTTGTTATACCCTCTTCTTTTTGAATGAATGAAGTATAGCGTTTAAGCGATAACCATCTACATTTATTTTAATCTTACCATCATTTTGACATATTCTATGTTTTATATTAGTTATTTAAACGTAACAAGGAATTAACTCTTATTCTTATGTAATCATATGCTTTTCATTCATATGAATTTATCTGATTAAAAATAAATTGGGGTTATGTTTTCTTACAAACCATATCCAAGTGAAATATTATTGAACATCATAGTATATAAAAAATTTGTTTCTTTTTAATTTGAGGAACTCCATCACTACAATCTATTAAATGCATAAATTTTTATAATCTTTTAGTGATTGTAAAAAGAAACGGAATCTTAACTATTATATAGTAACCATGGAAAATTAATTTCTACGTTTAGCACTCAATGATAAATTACTATTTAATACTGAAAGTCAATAATTTATGTATAGATTGCGAAGTAGAATGAGTTGTTTGTTGAAAAATGTAACAAAGCACTTAAAAGTGATAGATAGATCTGATGAATCTTCTTGATCAAGAAAATACGAAATTTCTGACTAAGAGCGTTATGGAATGAGTATACATTGACGTTTATTAATGATTATAAAAATCAATCAACCACTTCTAAATTTTGCTTTGAATAAAGGGATATATATCACGTTACTATGAAAAGGGAAATTAAATAGGATAATTTTGAAATTACAACTGAAAACAGTTGTCCAGAACATATATTATGATGAATATTTCATATTTAGGTAAAGTCCATGATTCCATACAGACATGAACATCGCATTTACTAATTTGCATGTGTATGGATCAACAATTAGGGAGGAGAGATCGAACAATATAATCTAGGCTGATGAAACATGACTAAATTGCATTATGAATTAGTTAACATCACATGACCAATAAACAGTGAAAAGAAGGCCATACTCTGTTATATTGAAACGCATAATTAAAACAGGTCATAAGATTGACCTTACATCGTCCTTCAAGTATTTATGTAGAATTTGTTGATGACGCATTTTTAGGATTGTGAAAGCCTTGGCCAACAACAAAAAAACTCCTTTGTATGTATAAGAGCAATTTTTTAACCTTGAATCTGTCCTGACAATCTTTAATCCACTGTAATAATTAGATTTATGTGACACCTTTTTTCTTCTAATATTATCTTTTCTCTCTATTTCTAATTATCATTATTTACTTCTCTGAACTTTTATTGGACTGACCTTCATTAGTTTTCAAAATATAACAAGTATATATGTGACCAGCTTCTAATGCCACTGCTTAATATCGTAAATTATTCGAATATATTAAATGGAAATCATTGGATGCTGGTACAACGATTTCAAAGGTTAAATGCTTGTAGTGAAACGTAGAGGTTTTTAGTTTAATATGGCTCAGTAACTTAGAATCTAACATTGAATGAAAAAAGAACTGGTAATATTTCGACTTTCATGAAGCATGAATTTAGTAAGATGGAGATTTTATACAATGATGATATATGGAGTTATTTTACCAGTTTTTATGCCATTCATATACCCACGTCAGTATGTATACATTGATTCAACATTTATATAGAGTCAAGTATGTTGAACGTAATGAATGAAGTAACATTTCAATAAAGCTATCAGGGTGAAATACATGCATCGGCGAAGTTCATTCAGTCAAACTTAATTATTCAATTTGTTATCAAGTATAAACTGTTTAAAGATTTTATTCTCTAAATTAACCAATCGTATATAGAAATATAATAAACTATTTCGATATTTCTGAAACCACAAAATATGTTTTTTTGTTCATATGTATTAAATCTACTGCTAGCCAATATCCATCTTTGCTTATAATGCTTGTAAATTAAGGCAATATCGAGGCATACGCACAGTATGCACATATGCCAATAAGAGACTGATCAATTTCAGTCCTAAAACATCAATGGGAAGATTCAAGTAAAACAATACCAAGTGAATTAAACTTCACCTGATTGCACATTATGATAGCAAGTGGCTATCAGGACTCAGTAGTTAAGTAGACAACGCGATGGCGTTTGAAGCGAACGGTACTGAGTTCGAGTCCCGGAGTGAACATAAACTCAGATGCTGGTACGTCCGGCTGACGAGTCCCAAACAGGACGAGACGCGCGTCCTGGATTCCACTGCTAGCCACTATCCATCTTTGCTTATTATGTATTAAATGCTTTATTTACACGTTGGATCTGATGAAGATTTGCTTATTTACACTATTTTTCATTACTACTAGTGTTGAATATTTTATTTAATCGTCGATAAAGAAAATTGAATAAGTGATCATATTGTCATCACTATCGCATTTGAAAACGTGAATACAGATATAAGAAAGTTTTGTTTTTCGTCACTTACAAAATAAATGCTAATTATATCATCGTCCAATAGTGAGTGAAACAACATTTAAATTATATGATTAGTAAAACGTCATTGTACTAGTAAATGTAAATATATGGTATGCAAGGTATTTTTCATAGATTTGGGATATGGATGATATGGGGACCAATGGACATAGAAACGCGATCATATGATAGATTCTTGGAAAATAATAATAATAATAATACAACTGTCAATTGAAAAGAAAGAACAACTACAGCCAAACTCATCTTAGAAGATGCGAAGATAGGAAAGCACGAAAAAGCTCAAAATACAACTAAAAAAATCAAATATAAGGTTATCATAGACAGTAGTTATGATGATTCTCCACTTAATCTATTCTAGAAGAACAAAACAAAAACTGTTGATTTATGTTCTGTCTAGAAAGCAAGTGAACTTGATTAATAAACACAAACCTAAGAAATGATGGTGGTTCCAGAATGCAGAAATGGTCAACAATTATGCAGTAAATTACAACAATAGATTCAAATGTACTATTCAGGATTGAAGAACACAGCTATCTAGTGGTGAAAACCCAAATGAAAAAGTATCCAACTCCAAAACAGGACTGTTAAGTGGTAAAACACTAAAGTAATTTTCTCCCAAAAATGTTCAGTATTATTACTAATACCTCTCATAGTCCCATAGGCTGTTGTATAACAATTCCTGATACCGTTATCCAACGATTAGTAGTTACGTACTTTTGTTTAAAATAACGGTTAACTGCTAAAGTGATCATGAATATGTTTTTGCAACTTCATGTTGGGACACTTTCTATGATGAACTGTTTTATTTGTGAGAGATCAATTTGATTAAGTAATGCGGTTTGCATTACATAGTGAACAATTGCACGTTAAATAAGTACCACACACTTGATACTAGTTTCTTGCTTTTCGGGTTAAATTACTAAGATTTTCGATGTGATATTGTTGCAAACAGGAATATACCCGCATGACTATAATTTACACATGGCCGACTGAATAATATACAACACAAGGAGGTGTATTAGAATAATTTTGTGCACAACTGAACACTTCACATAACCCTTGAGAATGCACATGTGTTTGTAAATTTAAAGTCGATTATTTTCCTTCTATGTACGAATTGTGCTAACTATAATAGAAATCTCCATAAATTTTCCCCTTGTCATTACTTATACCATACTTATCAGTCAGTGAGACTAGGAGTGTAAATCGAGGAAGTCAGATTTACAAGAAAATGCCGTTAGTCAACAAAATAACCCAGAGTTACTCAATACGACTAAAAGCTGATTGACGCGAAAGATAGAGGTTTAGAATCCCCAGTTTACAAGAGTAATCACTTCAACTATGTTATTTCATATTTGAACAACTGACACAAGGAAATTATCTGACTAAATCAGAGACAAGAATAAATCAGATATCCTAATGGGAAAGAAATTGTTGATAATCACAATATGCAACCTGCCCGATGCTACTCCTTTACTAACGAAGTTAAATTTAGCAACATACTCGGAGTAAAACATATTGGAATGATGTGTTACACACTTTGATAAGTTGGTTTGCGTTGTTATTGACTTTTTTCTCTTCTCACCACCTCGTTCACTGTTAATTTTCTATACTACTTATTAATATTCAGTACGTACTTGTATTCCTAACAATTCCCAAGCTTATGTTGTCGTGTAATATTCTAAAATATTTACCGGTACTTATAACATTTATCGTATTTATCATCCTAACTGCTTTCTCTAAATCTCTGTATCAGTTATTCGTGATTTTGCATAGTCACTGAATCTTTGTTGAAACGCAAAGGTTCCTATATTTGTTTGTTTTAGGTTCCCTTTTTGCTTGTTGATAAACTGTTATCAAGGTTAGACACAGCGATTATTTGCACTATACTAAGTCATAATTATTCTTTATGTTATCACTGCAGGGAGTCCTTTTTATTTCAGATGAGCTAAGAGCCACAGATACTTCACAAGTTAAGGTTTATAACTAATTTCTACCTATTCATCGATATAAAACCCCATTCCAGACAGATCGTTGTTTCGCGCATATCTCAATCGTTTGATTAGACGCTTCGGTACATTTAACATACCTATTACTCAATATAATTTTATAGCATAAACCTAAGTATATAAAAATCAGAAAACACGATACTTTACGTCATATTTAAATAGACTTGATAGTATGGGAAATTCGGTAGACATCAATTTACCATTAATAAGAGATATTATGATGCACTCATATTCATGGAATTCATTTAACACAAGTTTCGATAAGATTAACAACAGCCAAAATTATGGTTAATTCAAATGCTTAAAAGTTGGAAATTAATTTTCACATCATGATAGGATTAAATGGCACTTGATTATTTAGTGTTTTCTTCAGGTCGATTAGATGATAATGGAAAAATTTCAACTCATTTGTAGCTTGTTACTTAACCAACTAGCATATTCTTCAATTTCTTCATAACTTTCACAAAGTGTAATAATGTTTCTTGATATAGTTGAATTACTGTCTACTGGAATGCCAATATATCCGCCAGCTAATGCAGTAGCCATACAACCAATAGTATCAGTGTCACCGCCTAATCCGATCGACAAGACAATGGAACGTAGAGGAGGTGACTAAAAACACAAAGAAAGCAATACAATATATATATATATATATATATATATATATATATATATATATATATATATATATATATATATATATATATATATATATATATATATATATATATATATATAAAATTTCTTGAAAATAATTACAAACGTATATGTTTAACCAGTAATAAAATACAGAATGATAGAGATTGGCCTTAGAAACCTTTCGTATGAGATATATTAGACTCCGACTTGGTGATTTAAAGATATATTTGCCGAGAGAACTGACTGTCATCAGTTAGATTCTCAAATAGGGTCGTAAGCAACTGCCCAACACTTTAGGGATCAGTTCAACTGGCCTTCAGCCACACTTCGGTTTTCCACGATCTCTAGTCAACCTGAATGGCAAGTTAATGTAGGTCCTCCGACTCTTTACAAAGTTGAAAAAGCCATAGGAAATCTGAAGCGAGGGAGAGCAGCAGGCCCTGACAGGTTTACTCCTGAGATTTTTAGGGATGGTGGTTCAGTATTAGCAGTGAGATTAACTGAGGTCTTAGGTAGAATTTGGGAACTGGACGTAATCCCATCTGACTGGACTCAATCGCTGATTGTGCCAGTCTATGAGAAAGGACAAAAGTCCTCTTGTGACAATCACAGAGGAATCAGTTTGACTAATATAGTGTCTAAAATATTAGCTTCAATAATACTTCGACGCCTAATCAAAGCTAGTGAAGAACAGACTAGAGAAAATCAGGCTGGTTTTCGACCTGGACGTGGTTGTATAGACCAGATATTCACACTACGTTAGGTCCTAGAACATAGACACACATTCAGACGCCCCACAATCGTAGTATTTCTCGACCTTAAGGCGGCATTTGACTCTGTTGATCGTGAGGTTCTGTAGCAGTGTTTGCCATTGAAAGGAGTACCAAAGAAGTACATTAACCTTATACAGGCTCTCTACTCGAACACAACTGATCGATTGAGAGCTTATGGCGAACTGTCATCAGAATTGATTACCTCAAGTGGTGTTCGTCAGGGCTGTTTACTCTCTCCATTCTTGCTTAACTTTGTCGTTGACACACCTTCCTCATCTAAATTTCCAGGGGTTGAACTTCTACCGGGAGATCCACTTTTTGACCTATAATATGCCGATGACATAGTTCTATTTGGTGAACATACTGAGAAAATACAGAGTCTTCTGACCACTCTAAACAACAATGCAAACATGTTCGGGATGCGAGTCTCCCCCTCGAAATGCAAAATTTTGCTTCAGGATTGGGTTGCATCGACACCCGAACTAATGATATGGAGTGAAGTAGTTGAGCGTGTTGTCGACCGCTTCACTTACCTTGGAAGTCTCATCAGCCTTTGTGATCTGGTGCGTGACGAAATCTCAGCACGGATACAGAAAGCTCGATTAGCTTTTACCAACTTGCGTCATTTATGGCGTAGGCGAGATATCCGTCTATCAACCAAAGGACGGGTTTACTGCGCAGCAGTTCGTTCCGTCCTAATTTATGGCAGTGAAACACGGCCGGTAAGAGATGATATTCGTAGGTTACTAGTATTCGATCATAGGTGTATTCGAAGCATTGCTCGTATATCCTGGGACCACTGAGTAAGTAATGCAGTTGTTAGGAAACGGGTACTAGGTAAGGATGGCAAGTCAATTGATGAAGTAGTGGAAATTCATCAGTTGAGATGGCTGTGACGCGTGTTAAGTATGCCCAACTACCGACTGCCTCGACGTGCGATGTTCAATGGTATAGGAGTAGGTTGGAAGAATGCTAGGGGCGGCCTGACCAAAACATGGCACAAGTTCATGAAATCACTGACAAGTGGACTGAGTCATGTTGGTAGGTGTAGACTACCTGGTTGGGGACCGCGAGATGATAGCAACCGATGGTTAGAGACCCTGAATGACATGGCTCAAAATCGTTTGCAATGGTGCAGGTGCATTCACTCTTTGCGTTCTCACAAATTCTTTATGTCCCTTTTGTTTCCTCTTCCCAAATTTATTTCACTGGGTTATACTCTTTAAATAACATCTCCAAACCCTGATCTTCCCGATTATTGCTTATACTCTTACTACCTCTACCACTACAGGATTTGAATCGACCACTGCATCTCTGTGCTAATGTGGCATGGCAACTCGAACTGATGTACGCACGTACGAAGTTCTACGTTGTTACTGACTGACTTTAATGATTTTCCAATTTATTTCCATTAATTATGGTAATTATCTTCACATTTACGAAATAGCGTTCAACTTATAGTGGATTAAAAGCACATCAAAACATAAATAATATGTCATTAAAAAGCAGACAAAAGATATCTCACATTAAACTCGATTCCGTCTATAGGTTTTAAACTGCGCAGAAATACATATAATGCAGTTGGAACAGAGTTGATGGCTTTTAAATCATTACCTAGAGTGCAGTAGAAAAATAAGTAATAAATTAGTAAAGTGTTAAGTTATGATCATTATAACAGTAATACAATAAATTGTGAATAAAATGCATACTAGTTTCGTCTTGTTAATCGCGGTCATAATTATAATAATGATAATAATAACGTTGTGTGATTATAATATGTAATAAGTGATGTGTTGTCAAGGTAATTATGTAGAAAAATTCACGCTGAATATGGCCAATGTGACTGGATCTACAGGAGCAGTTGAATTGGTAAACACACATAGAGGAGCCCATAATCAGTAACCTATCCTTAATTTGTTGTGTAAGTACTGGTCTGGTTGAGAAGATTACATGTATGAGTTAGAGCAAGTAAATAATCTATCAAGTTCCTATTTACTTTTAATTATTAGTTTATTTACTTGTTATCAAAATCAATCAGATTGATCATTGAGTATGATTTAAACCTTCACCTGTTATGCAGTGAATAAAGACTTGGGTAGAGTAAACCAATTTATTGTAACATGCAAAATCACAGTGCATTTATTAAAATATGAAAAAAATACACTGGATACAACATTTGCACATCTTGCTGAATTATCTCTGGCGAATTCCATCATTCTTTTATTTCTGTTGTTACTCGAACTCCTGTTTTTTTATTTCTCTTCTCCTCATGTTCCTCTTTTGTCAGTAAGAATCCTTTTTTCAATTCTTGATACATACTACATATGTCTGTCCGTATAAGTAACACATACCACAGTTGAACGACTTAATGTGCAATGATTTAGAGAACCACATAGCACTCATTTGATTTCAAAATACTAGCTTCAACTACAATTTTGTAAAAGTATAATACGGTGGCTGAACTTAACTATACCTTAATTTTGATAAACAGTATCTGATTAGTGTACCGTGTACTCTACACTTTTTAGACTGTATGTAGTTTTGTTATCTTCGAGTACACTGTTCACTTTCGTCAGTTAAACAATCTGACGTTTGTACTTTGTATACGATTAAGCAGTCTTACGGTGTAATGTGAAGTAAGTGTCATATTCACATATGTATACAGTTGAATTTCAACTTAAACCAGTTATTTATGTTTGGATTGTAAATAATTGTGTAGCTAACCAAATATGTGATTCATCGATTGGGAACTGACTGATTAAGTGAATAGTTTAAAGCTGTAAAGTCAACATAGGCTAAGGAGGATTCATGTAGAGAGTACAAAACTAACTCTTAACTGATACAGTACAAAACTATTTTTTCACACTATCCTAACGTACGGCTTATTTGGAGAGGTAACATCGTGGTTATAGCATCCGACTTTTAGCCACTAGTTCCCAGATTTGAACCCCAGTATACCTAATTTAGTTCAGAAAACCAGTTAGTACAATTAGCCTCCATTATTAAGGTTTGGTCCATACCCCAATGAAGCGCTCCTAGGGTTACTGCCAATCCAGAGACCGGATAAGGGAGGAGGGGTGGGCATGGGGTTAGCAGCCCCATCTCGTAGAAAACAACAACGCTAAAAAGACGCTAGTCAGAGGAAACAATTAAAATCATTCGAGTTGAATAATTTTCATTTGGAAAAGTTATATATGTATTGAAACGTAACATTAGGGGTAAGACATAATGTGAAACAATTGAAATTGATGACGAAAAGAATTAGAATAATAAGGATTATCAGTAATGATTATATATATATATATATATATATGGACAAGTGCCCATGAAATGCAGCTATGTGATTATTAGTTACAAATAAGAGAAGTAGTATATATAAATATTAGTATAGGATATATAATAGAATTAAAAATCGATAAGATGGGCTATGTAATAATTGAACAGGATTCGAAGAGTTTACATATATTCAAAGAAGTAAGGGAATAAAAATAACAACAACAACAACAACAAAGATTTATCAAGGTAGTGATAAGTTGATCATTTTCCCTTTCTGGATTAGTAAATCAGGTTTGAGTTTTTTATTGCTGTTGCTTCGGCGAACCGGATACGCTGCATTTTTGTCTGCTAATCATTTTAAAGGATTGTGGAATGTTAATGGAATGCCTGGTATTAGAAAGTGTGAGAACTATTGAGGCGTCACACTACTATTGGTACCGGGAAAAGTTCTCAACAGTATTTTGGACCGGATGAAGTATTCAGTAAATGCTAAACTTCGAGATCAATAGGTCAGATTCCGTAAGGACCGGTCGTGTACAAATCAAATTTCAACGCTATGGATCATTGTTCAACAATCAATTGAATGGGACACGTCACCATACATCAACTTCCTTGACGATAAGAAGACGTTTGACGGCGTGAATAGGAAAACCTTATAAAATCCTCTTCGGCATTATGGTGTGCTTAAGAAGATTGCCAACACCACACGGAATTCATATGACGGACTATATTGCAAAGTTGTGCATGGGGGACAGCCCACATATCGGTTCAAATCGAAGGTCTGTGTCAGACACGACTGCCTACTCACGCCCTTCCTCTCTCTTCTGATGGTTGACTAGATCACGAAGGCCAAAACTGAGTGGAAGCACGAAATACAATGGACAGCTTGAAAGTAGTTAGACAGTTTGAACTTAGCAGATGGCCCAGCTATTTTATCCCATAAACACCAACAATTGCAGGTGAAAACAGTAAGTGTAGTAGCAGCCTCCGAAGCAGTAGGTTCCAACATACACAAAGAAAAAGCAAGATCCTCAAATGCAACACAAACAGCACCAACCTAATCACACTTTATGGAGAATCTCTGGAACGGACGGAAACTTTCACGTATCTGAGAAGCATCACCAATGAACAAGGAGGATCCGATGCAGACGTAAAGGCAAGGAATGGCAAAGCGAGAGCAGCATTCCTACAAATGAATAACACATGGAACTCAAAACAACTGTCAGACAATACCAGAGTAAGAATATTCAATACAAACATCAAAACAGTTCGACTATACGGAGCTGGAACTTACAGAACTACTAAAACCATCAGAAATGTACAGGTTTGTAAAAGTAATTATCTACGCAAGGTACTCAATGTTCGTTGACCAGATGCCACCAGAAACAACGTATTATAGCAGAGTATAAACCAGCTTTCATCTGAAAATGAAATTAGGAAAATATGCTCGAGGTGGATAGGACATACACTGAAGAAATCACCAAACTGCATCAATAGGTAAGTCCTAGCTTTGGATCCTGAAGGCAAAGGGAAAAGAAGAAGGCTAAAGAGCACATCGCGTCGGGAATAGGAGGTATAAATTAAAGGAATTAATAGTGATTTGAAAGGCGAGTTCAGGACGGAGTTCAATTAAGAATGCTGGTGGGAGGCCTATGCTCCTCCACGAAGGGTAACAGGCGTACGTAGGTAAGTCATACCCAAGTAACTAGTGAATGAAGTAATGTATTTTATAATTCAGTGGATATTAATCACAAAAGCCTATTTATAGACAGAACTAACTCAGATGAGCAAACAGTAAGAGATGAAACTGGTCAATTAAGTTACTGCTTTGTGAGAAAATGACACACAAACTATCTAACAGAAAAATAAACAATTTTAAGCTAAGGGTCTTATAAATTACCAAACAGACAAAAAAATAAAAACTTAAGTATTGTAAAACATATCATCTAACTGATTTTCAATGAGCAAGTTATAGGGCTCTAAAGAGCAGTTAATACATGTCTTCAGAGGTCATTCCTAAAAACCACACAGAGACAGTATATTCCTATGTCGTATGTTTTTCACTTATCTAAGATGTTTGTGTTTTGTTTGCGTAGATAATAAAACCCGACAAATCCAAAAATAAGTTTTTATTATGGGCAATTAAATTCCATTGATTACCCTACACTCTCAGTCTAGGCATGTATTTTAAACAGTATTGAAGTAACCATCTGCATTCTCCGATCTCTCCACATAATGTCCAGAATATTTACACTTTATATGAGTGCCCGTTCGCCTATCATGAAGAACAAAAATCTTCAGAATATACATTGGAAATTTGAATAAAATTGATCAAGCGTCTCTACATATACGATGGAAGCAAAAGAAATGTTCCTCGTGAAAAAGCAAACCTACCCAATTGATGGACAATATTTGTAACTGATGGTTGTTTATCGTCTATCAAGAGATATTTAACTATTTGTAATTTTTCTTTATAAGCATCAAGTGCTTCTAACCAATTGGGTTGTTTAAAATCTACAAAATATTCTGTTCTCTCTAGTCTTTTTAATAAGTTATCGATGAAAGCTACATAATCCAGTTGTATATGATCATGTATTAAAGAGAAAATCATTTGTATAGCATATGCTTGTATAAGTGCTCCACATATAGCCAGTGGATTGGTATGAGTTAACCGAGTAATATCGATAACGATTTTCTGAAATACAATGATAACGTAACATAAAGTAAGGCACTAGTTTGTGAATGTTTTAAGATAAATTTATAAGAGATGTTGGTTTAAAACCAATTGATGGGTCAGTTAGAGTATAAACAGTTTTTCACTAGTTAAAATAGATGAAATTCAGGTCAATTAAATTTGGACTGAACTTTTAAATTTAATACATCTGAAATCGAAATCTTGATTGCGTTTTTAAAGTCACGAATGACCTACTTCTAAGTATTACAGAAAAGCACGTCCAACAATAAAGTAAAGCCCATATCCAGTTGTATTCTTGCCTTTCCAATTTTAATCTTATATTACAGGTAACAAAAATTCTTTTACAATCAATGAACATTGATCATATCTTTCGTCAAACTTTGACAGAAATTTATCCTAGCACATAAGTATATCCCTGATTGTACTTCTTGATAGGACTTGATAATACCAAAGGACTGACTGGTATTAAACTGCTGATATAGCGAGTTATGATAATCTTTGAATTTGAAGTTTCCCATCACGGACTAATTTGGGATAAACAATCAATGAAATAAATGGAGCATTGGATATCTGTTTTGGCCTAGTATGGGACTCGCCATTGGTGAGCATCCATGATACCAACAAAGTCAGTCTATAACGTGATATAAAACTAAAAAAATACTTTGTTATTAATGAGCACTACAACCAAACCACCTAGCTCAGAAACTCAAAAATACCAGAAGCGTCCATTCGAGCTGCAAATCTCCATTATTGAACTGGAACGTATAACTGTGAATTGAAATGTCCATGGGTAAATATCTAAAGTATGTAAGCTATGAGGTAACCTGAATTTTGGCCTTATTCATATTTGACATTATCCTGTTTTTACTATGTAAGGTGTTTCTTCTCAAGAGATCTGGAAAAGGAACCGGATTAGCAGTGATTTGGAAGAGTAATCACAGAACCAAACGAACATATGTTAGAAGTTGTTAGCCCACAACGTTTATGTGAGTGTTTATTTTCGTAGGGTTAACCCCATACTTTCCAAACCTAACTACTGGTATACGAAATCTACGGCGTAAGGAGAAGTATGTTGTTTTTAAGATAAACCTTGCTTGACTTTTTTTCTTGTCTGTTGAAATGAATACCATTGGAAGCGACGTGGTCTTATCGGTCATACTGATTAACAATAATCGGAAGATAAAATATTAGTGGTTGTATCTTTGAATAAGCTGGTGTGATGTTTATTATGGCCTGTAACCTTATAACCATATAGGGAAACTAAACAGTAACCATTTACAGTCTACTTATTTGGTGGCCAAATTAAATGTCTCATAAACACCATGGCAATATATACCTTTTATTCAATATACATTGGAAGTTATCTAAAATTTATGGTCCATGTTCTTAATAACAACTACCAATATCAATCTAATAATGTGGGCAATTAGTGAAACACGTCATTTCAAAAAATCGTCCGAATTACTTCAACAAAGATGTTCTATTCATTTTTCACTTAAAAAAAGTCCAGATATCCTATTAAATTTAATCCACTATAAGTACGCTTCTGTAATCTGATTGTAAACTAGTGAAATATTATGCTGTAGTACATGATTGTGTGAACTGCTTTAAAAATTTTTAGACAAAGGTTGGATTGTCAAAAAACTCAATACACATAATACATTAGCTACCAGCTTTCTGTTAATGTTTATGAACTACACCAAGGATAACTGAACACCAACGACTATTTCACATACATTATGTGCAACCACCCGGTTTCAAAAAATTGCAATTTGTAATAAATTCCCTGTTTGTCCGAAAATATAATTTTTGAGTATATAAGCAATTACAATTCATAAAATACAAAGAATAGTTGACTGAAGGACAGCTCACCTCAAATTCACGTTGAGGATATCGTAATCCATATAGCGCTGCGGGTGCGATTCTCATGGCTCCGCCGTTGCCATATGATCCTGTCCCATTAAATAAATCAGCAGCGTGAGCATAGGGATCTTTATAGTTTGCCATCCTAAGTGAGGAAAAAACGCGTCCAACAGAACCACCATAGCACCTATGTAATCCATTTTCAAAGTAGTCAGTAGTGAACCTGGTAATATGGAAGAGGTCATTTTGAGCACATTTGATAAATCATTCCATAGATGTGACAAAAAGCAACTTAAAGAGTACTGACCTGATCATTTCAATTAGATGAGAACGCAAATATTGAAGCTCATTTATTCAAATCAAAATAAAATGAGCTCCTCAACAATGTACTACAACAATACGGTTTTCAAAAAAAATGAAAAACCAGAAAGAAAACACATAGATGGAGGAAAAAAATCAGAAAACTTCCGCTATTGATTTTTCCTTTTTGCGTCACAAAGATATTGTTGGTGATGCACTGATTAGTAGGAAGTCATATTACTCTAAACACTATAAATATGGTTTGCGAATAGCAAAGCAAAAGTAATTCATTTTATTCTGTTTTCTGCTACTAGAATCGTTGGCGAAGCTTTATTGTAACATCGTACAGTAGCATCTGGGTTAATAAATTGATCGAGAGAGATTATATCTTTTATTAACCGATCACTTAGGTATGCCTTCGATAATTTGGTCAAGCTTTGTGAATAATATAACCAGTTATTTAGGTACAGAGGGAGCCAAATAAGATGAGTGCAGGTTACTATAATTAAAAATCAAATATCGGAGATCATATAAGGAATACAATTCCTCAATATTTTCGTATAAATCTAATATATGAATTATAAAGCCATTTCTACTTACTCTTTAGCCAAATGTTCTGCATCGAAACTATTTCTAGCCTTTAATGACCGGAGAATCGCAAGACTCATTTGTGTATCATCACTGTACATCAGCTGTTTAGTATCAACTAAGGACAAAGATGAGGAACGTAAACTTTGTACACACAGCCATTGATTGACCTTTGCAGTAGTTCCAAAGGAATGGTGAACTTTGATGCTGGGCTACCTTCGTATACAAATCCATAACAATCTCCCATCAAGCCCCCAATCAGTACACCACGGCAGAAAGATAAGTAATCCATTGTGAGAAGATAAGTATGTTTGAGTTTCTGGATTACTTGAAACCTGGGTGAATGAAAGATCAACTATTAAAATCAATGTCTTATGTGAGGCTAAGCTTATTGAACAGTCTATACATTAGTCAGAACTATTAAACAAAAAGAGTGGATTCTGTACTCCTGAAAATTTTTGCTCGAGCTGTTGGTGCCTTAAAGTATGTATGGGCATGAATGTTGATAATGTTTTAAGAATGCAGAAAAGACTAGTTAAAAGACTGATCGAGGCCAATAATACAGAATATAGTTTAAACTAACATTGGTTTTAAAATCCATTTTTGGTTTCGTCTAGAAGGAATTAAGAAAGTGTCATTTCTTTAGCAATCGAAACCGACAGCTTCCCAAGATATTACAAAACATTTCGCACATACTTTTTAAGCGACCCTTCTAATGATACACTACAGTGATATAAAAGCGTTGTGATTAAAATAAAACTTTAAAGTAACTTATTTACTCTGGAGAAGTGGCTTGGGTTAAATTGAGAAATGTTGGAAATAAGAAATTATACTAATTGAGATGTCACAAAAATATCACTATTTTCTTACTATTAGAAGTGATCTGTTAGCTCATTGAGACTAGGAGGTACCAGTGTACATTCTACTCCACGATTTTGATAAGGCGTGAATAGAGAACACAGTAAACAGAGAGCACCCAGAACCACGGCCTCGTAGGGAAATACAGTGGGGTCCTGTCTCTCCTTCATGTTTACCGATAACATCAGATGAGCTTTAGTTCAGTGGTCTTTCTTTATCCCGACGATACTTAACTATAGAGGTTAAACAAGACTGCTTTAACTGAGTGCAGTTATCTGTATTCTTTTGAACTGCTAAATCTGAAGTACTGGCCTAATCGTCTTGAAATATATATATATATATATATATATATATATATATATATATATATGCATATGAAAAAGTGATTGGCCTTATCTCCCGAGTACGGGAGGAAGCTCCAATATGAGCCTCGTGGAAGTGCGATTGAAAGTCACAAACGTTTTCCAGATGTTGGGTTTTCCCATAATTTCAAAGTGACTTGAGGGAAAACCACAAAACGCTCGATGAAATTTCAGGTTTTCCTCAATCACTGGCCAAAATTTCTAACAAGTTTGAGGAAATCCACTGGAGTACAGTGGTAGAACTTCAAATGTCGACTTCTAGTAGTGGTAGTAAAAACTGCATTGACCACAGTTAATATGGATGAATTTAAGCCGACTTGAATTGTTGTGCTGGATGACAAGTTTCAGTGTTTAGTGTAATTAGGTCTATCCTAGGACCTAATTAAATGTCCGACCAAATCTTACACCTCTTGTGGAGTTATTTTCGAAAACGCTTAAACGGTTTTATAACAAAAAAGTGACAAGATTAGAACTAACATAAATCCCCAAACCACACCTGTAATAGCCTCTGTGCAGTCAAGGTCACTGTGTTTGTATGATTAGTATAACATAACAAACACGATCTTGGTGGAAAAGAGAGCAAATTATTTTTTGTATGAGCAAACAACAGTCGATATATGTGCGAAAACTAACTATTTTTGCGAGCCATGCATTTCTGTCTTATAGTATGCTGAGGTGCTCAACTGTTGCTATATATGGAAGCCAGTTAGGCGAAAGCTTCTTCTATTCCTTCCAGAACCACTTTTTCATTCTCTCCGTTCAATCTGTTAAAAGTTGTTCATAAAAAGTTGTTTTAATGCGAAAAGTAGTCATGCAAATTAGATTTAAAATTCAAAATATTTTCCCATTTATTTGGTTCAGATGATAATCTTCGTCTGCGTATAAATGAAGTAGATGAAGACATAGGTACTAAATTTCAACAAACCTAAGTCGTTTTGTTGAGTAGATCATTATGTTGGCATCAACAGACTATCTAGAAATAATGTTAAGACTTTATCTCACTGGATGTGGTTTTGTGTCGATTATCGATGGCCTGGTTTGTCTGTCGAAATATGCAGTATGTACCACAGATGGGAAGTCAAAACCTTGTCAGCAGAAGGCTATGGAGGTTGAATAAACAAAAATAGAACCGCAATAAGAGAGGAATTGTAAATTGGAAGAATCGTACGGAATGTGAAGGACAAATGATGGGGATTTGCAAATGAACTATTGAATGTATGATTCCTGTATTTTACTCAGAGTTATCGTAATTTCATATTAGAATGCAATTATTTGTCTTACATGTATAGCTAATTTAGTTTTGGTTAGCAATGAAAGTTTTGATGGCAAATACCCAGTATGGGTTGATAAAGTCTACTTGAAACATTATTTATTTCACTGGTTATTTGATTTTGTATTGCTGTGAAGTGAACATTATGAATGGACCTATTGTAACGGTATTAAAAATCATTGCATATGACATTACTAATGTGAGATTGTTTTTTTTTATGGCAGCGCAGCAAAGAAGAACAAGCCCTACGCAAGCGGATCCTGCAGAACAATGAATAGATCCATTTCGTGATAAGCTTCCCTTTTTGTACTCAAAACGCATCTTTCAATTTTTAAAATATATCTGTTGTGCCAGTACGCTGTGTTCTTACTTCAGAGGCATTTGAATAACTATGGTCTACTATTGATATTAGTACTGCTCTAATAATAGACCTAATCCTATGATTGTAGATTTGTCATGATGTAACTGCCTAATCGATAAGATCTTACGTGGAATTCACATCATCGTCTACACCAGCTCACTATATTGTAACAATTACCAATACACGATAGAGAACAAACTTAGGCTAGAGATAGGACATTATATTTAACGTGAATGAAAGATGTAAGGCAACATTAATCAAGGACCACGGCTGCATGGCTGAGCCATGGTATACGATCAACTTCAACTAATTCAACTCATTCTTTCCACCCTCTTCATCGTTGGGTTTGTCTCCGTGTTAAATGTTGTATGTCTATTCCCCACATTGTCTCGTATCAGGGCCCAATGTCACTACACATTTACCAGTCTTGACTTTTGTGTTGTTTCTGATCGCTCTTGATTCCAGGTGAACGCCAATATAACGTGTTGCATTATATCTAAGTGGATAATTGATAATTAAATAAGAAAAAAGACTAAATTAACTGGATGCTGTAAATCTTAAATTTTTCTAAGAAAATTCTGTAGCGTGGCGTCGGGTTGGGATTACCTATGAACACCGCTACAAAGAAACACGTGCCAAGTTAATCAGAAGGCGAAGGTCGGACGTAACCAAATAAATCCATAAAATCCCCGAGAAGCCAAATATTAGAAGGCAGTTAATGGACCAAGTCGAGATAGATATATTCGCTGGCGATCTCGTGGCATCGAAAGGATACCGAGATCATGCCAGGATACAAGCTTGGTTACAGAACGTAACCGAATTCGCGCGAAGTCACAGTCAAGGTGTGTGTATACGAATGGAAGCACAATATAGCTGTCATTAGCACAGTCAAACAAAAGTACATTAAAACAAACACTGGTACAGTTGGTTACGATATGCGCACCCACACGCGACCAAAGTGACAGTGGCCAAAAATTTGATCACCAGAGTCAAAAAACTTGTCACTGAACCAGATGATATAAAAATGGAAATGAATTTAGTTGTATCCACTCTATTAATGAATAATTATCCGAAAGGTTTTATTAAAAGAATAATTAAGAATGAAGAACGGAATGATATTTTTAAAAAAGAGTTAAGCAAGATTGGATGAATACAGTAGTGATCCCATATCGTAAAGGTATCTCAGAAGACATCAGAAGGATTTTAATTCGTCAAAATATAAGAGTATTCTTTCGAACAAACAATACTCTAAGATCAAAACTAGTAAGAATCAAAGATCCAATACACAAGGATGATCAACAAAATTGTGTTTATGAAATCAAATGTAATGATTGTAATGCAACGTATGTAGGTGAAACATCAAGACAACTGAATGTGAGGGTGAAAGAACACAAACTGTGCTTAAAGCATATTCCTAAATCCTCAATTGATGTAAAAAAGCTTGAGAACAGATCAGCGATAGCATTACATTCAATTGAATCGGGTCATACAGTTGATTTCAATGGCACGAGAATCATTCAAAAAGGATTTAATTCTTACAAAGAACGCCTAACAGCTGAAGCCTTACATATATGGGCTAATTTAAACAATATTAATAGGAGAGATGGAATACAACTAGCTGCACCATGGCAACTAATAATTAATAAGTAAACCTGATCTCCTTTTTGCCATTTGATATATTTATGCCATAGTAACTAATTGATAGATAATACGTTCAATGATTCAAATCCGTTATCTTATCTGAATATGTTAAACAATTGACTGGAACATTTTTTAAAATAACACACTTCAATTACATATACATTCCTCGTTTATTTATTTTGTTTACTTATCTTCATTTAATGCAGGCTGTAGCATTTTGATTCATTTCATACATAAAAATGATTTGTTTTCTTAATATACACAGACCGTAGTCAATATTAAGTTGAATGAAAATTTTTCTCATATCACTTGCGTATAAACACATTCTGTTATCTTAACACGTTTTGGTTCCATAACACATACAAAACAATTTGTCATAACCTTGAATTTACCTTATAATCCTTAAGTCATTCTATGGCCTAGGATAACATGACAATTTCTTCCCCTTCATTATTTTCAAATGAACTTTTATTTTATTTGTTTGACCTTTATTATTTTTCATATAAACATGTCTCTTACACATTAATACAAATACCTATCTATAAAGAAATCCTTCACGTCGATTGGATGACTTATTCAGTGTACAGTAAACCGTAGAACCATGTACCTATTTATATTCGATAATTTTGTTGTTTGATTATATTTTCCTTGAAAAAGCTTGGACCAGATTGCCAGGCGAAACGTTGGATTTACTTAAAATTCATTCGCTGAGATTTTACAAATATATTCTTCTTTTTAATGTCTCAAATTAACTCGGCGCCCAAATATTGTGAAACTATTCGTTCAAATTTAGACGAAAGTTCTTATTTCATATAGTCTTGGTAAATATTATTTATATTGATTAGTTATTACAGTGTATTCAAGTACAAATTTCATATATATGTATTCATAAAAGTTGTGGTAAAATAACGGAAAGATTAACTTATGATTGTTTATAAAATACACTATTTACTGACCTATTTTAATTATAAAACCTTTTTTTCATCACTATCAGAATATTATTTTCATGGATTCACTTTATATGTTTAACAGTATTAGTGATTATAAAAATGATGAAAACTTTTGTTATTTGATGAGAAGCGAAACAAGGTCATTGATTCAACTATAAATGTTAAACTGTATATTGATAATTCAATATTATACTCATTCAATACTTTATTCACTTACATCTCTATTTTCTTAATGATGATGAAAATATCAAGTGTCCGACAGAATTTCGCCAAAGAATGTGAAGATGCAATCAATAAACAAATCAATGTGGAACTACAGGCTGCTTATGATTATATGGCATTCTTCACTTATTTCGATCGAGATGATGTGTCATTTCCGAAAGCAGCTGAATTCTTTCGAAAAGCTTCACATGAAGAACGTGAACATGCAGAGAAATTGGCCAAATATCAGAACAAACGTGGTGGTCGAATAGAATTTATGGATTTAAGAGCAGTTCAGAAAATTGAATTAAATGATCTTGAAGAAGCATTTGAAATTGCTCTAAATTCTGAAAAGTCGATTTATCAGGTGAATTGACTAATCAACTAATTATTATTATTATTATTATTATTATTATTATTATTATTATTATTATTATTATTATAAGCTTTATTCAATATTATAGTTTTGGTACAATATAGAATTCTCAGCGTAAAGTATTTCAACAAGTTTCCGTTTCTTTCTTCTTGGTCGGTCCTGGCGATAAATATCGAGTGATCGCCAGCTAGATGTTAGTAGTTCAGTAAATGAACATCTGAATACTTTGCATTCTTTTCGTTGTATATTGCCAGCAACCACATTATCTCTTATTGAGTTTTTTGTAACTTCGACAACGAAAGGTTGTACACTTTTCAGAAACGCAGCAGAATAGGTTATGCGATTAATAAACATATTGATATATTAAAACAAACAAAAATAGATAACTTGTTGAAATATCTAGATGGCAGGAACAGGTAGCCCAGATGCTCAAGCAGGCCGCTCTCTAATCATTATTAATAAGTTTATTTTTTGTAAAGTAAGATATTTTTAAAACTTTTTTCTTTTTTTCAATCCAAAATTAATTATCATATAAAATTTCATGTTAATGAATAAAGTTAATATCTGATTATGAAACTGGCAAAGAAACTACTTGAATTCATATACAACTAACTGATTTTCTTTGATCTCATTTGATTTAATTGCAAAGGAATTTCAAATTCAATATGGAACAATGAAAATTGTGATTTAACATCTGGTAAACAGACTTTTAAACAGACCACATCGTACCATAAAATAGAGAACAACATTTGTCCAGGATGTGGCCAAATGTGACTGTGAATGTGCGAGGTAGTGATTAATAGGCAGGGAATAATTCAAGAATAGGAAATCGTATAATAACAGTTCATAGGTTAAAATAAAGCTTATGATAAGAGAGATATGAATATGAATAGTTTAGTTATTTAACAATTATACGATAAAAATATACGCATAGCATTGGTCTATAAATGGGTCCCAAAAGTTACCATTCATTGTGCTTATTGGAGCATAACAGATTGTAACCAAACAATGTAGGAATGAATTGTCTTTATTTCATACTGTTTATTATTATTATTATTTCTTTAAAAAAGCATTTACACTATACTTTAATTTGTCTTTTGTTATTTACTTTAAAAAAATTTTTTTCTACAGTCCCTACTGGAATTACATAGTGTAGCTGAAGAACACAATGATCCAGGGTTATGTGAATTTATTGAATCTGAATGCTTAGAAACTAAAGAACAATTCATTAAAACAATTGCTGATTATTTAACACAAATTCAACGTGTTGGGAAACAACTTGGTGAATATTTATTTGACCAATTAACATTGAAAGAATAATAATAATAATAACTCAAATATAAATTAATTGTGAATAATCTTGTTTTATATTTATTCTTCTTAAAAGTAGTAATAGCAGTAGTATATACATAACTGCATTATTTACTTTAATAAATTAAACAAAGTTTTTATTTAACATTGAGCTGATCGAATACTCAAATGAATGATGAATTCTTATTTTGCCACTTAGTTTCTTATCTACTTACTGACTGAAGCTGACTGCCCTTCTTAAAGTATAAGCTGTCAACCAGAGGTCTTCAAAAAACTATTCTGCGCTCTTACGTTTAAATATTATTAAACAGTGTTCATGGTCTTGATGTCATTCTCTAATGTTTCTTGTCATCCTTGCTTTAGTCTCACTCTTTATTTTCCTTGATGATTCAAAGTTACATATTGTTTTGTAATGTAGTCTAATGGTTTATATAGTGTCTTCTCCAACTCTAAAGTTTTTACTTGATATTCGCCTCAGCCGAATTGTTTACTACCAGAGTAGGTTGTTGCATATATTTTCTGTTCGACGGATCTGTAGTTGTAATATAAAGAATATGTTGAAACTCCAATCATAGTATTTTATTGTTATTTCGTTGTTCTTTTTCCCTGGCCTGTATTTTAAACTCTACTCAGATCTCTTGTAACCACATTTTGTTTTCTTCAGTCTTCTTTGTCTGAGCATTTACTATCCAACTTTGGCTCAAGATTTATATCTATTATTTTATTTTACTGTTGTGTGTTGCCAGACCATTGACTATGGGGTCGTGTTTGAATAAACTTGAGGTTACGAAGTGGTTCGATCAATAATTGTTGATCTTTGGTAGTCATCTGGGAACAGTCACTCGAATCTTTGCAGATAGATATTTGATCACATATTGTTGGGGATTCCCTTATTAATTCTCAGGTACTGAACAATTATTTAACAACCATTCCTTTTTCTGTTTAGCTCGTTATTTTGTGCATGGAAGACCTTCGACTGTTTAGCATATGCTATTCCATTCGAGGTGTTCTGTACTTTTGATAAATTCTGTTTCCTTTCTTAAATTAGGACCGTTTAAATCGAGCCCAGTGTGTGTTTGGATATGATTTAATACGAGGAATTGAAGAATGTTTAATATACGGTACAGAATAACGTGGTTTGATCTACTGAAATAAATTTTGGTTCGTTAGCTTTGCGTTTAGATTAAGTACTGGAATTTCGGTCGTTATAGTATTATCTTAGTAGTAGTATCTTGCATCGACAACTGTTTATAGATAACTGTGCGTCTTTGGTGTTGTCGATGGTAATTCTCCATGTTTTAGCTTCATATAATAGAACTGTTTAAATTTTGGTGTTGAAAACTTTGACCTTCATCTTCGGTATCATTCACTTTGAGTTTCGGATATTCTCCAGATGAATGAATTTACCCCTTGCTTTACCGATCTGTGCAATGATTTCTCCATCGGTACTTCCTTATTGCTTAGGAACGCTGCCCAGGTATATAAAGTTGTCCACCATTTTTAGAGCTTCATTATCAAGTGTGATTTAGTTGGTGCTCACTGCATTGTACTACCTGATCTTAGTTTTTTCCTTGTTAATTCTGAGACCCACTTCTGTAGACGCTGCTTCTATGGCGACGATGTTTACCTGTATTTATGGCTGTGTCTGAGAATAGGAGGGCTGAAGCATCTACAAAGTTCAAAACATTCAGCTATATACAAACTATCTAGTGTATTCCATGCACTTCCTAAGGTGTGGGAGTCCTCATAATTCAGTCATTAGCTAACAGAAAGAGAAAAGTTGAGAGAAGATAGCATTGTCTAACGACAGTCTTCGCTTGAAATAGGTCTGTTGATTGCCCCCCCCCATACAAATTTCTACAATTCAGTCCCTTATTGAAGTTTCGCATGATAGGGATGACCTAAAATTCTTCATAGTGTCGAATAAGATTCCTCAGAGCTTTCATATGCACCCTGTCGAATGATTTCTCATAATCAAGAAAGTTTACGTATGGTTATGATTTCCATTCAATTAATTGATCAGCAGTTGTCTGAAGTGTCGCAATTCGATAGTTAAATGACAGATCCTTACGGCAGCCAGCTTGTTGGTCACAAAGTTGGTCATCTACTGAATCCTTCCTTCAGTTTTGTAACATTCTATTGAATAACTTTCCAGGCACTGACGCAAATTAACGCTTCTGTAGTTCTTACATTTACTATGATCTCATTTATTTTGCATCATGACGAAATGTCATTCTTTGCAGTTTGTTGATACTTGTTTTTCCTAAATATATTTGAACAGAATGTTTCTTGGCTTCGAGATAAGTTCTTGGGCTCCGTATGTCAGTCACCGTAATAACCATTATTAAGTAAATCTTAACGGTGTATGAACTCAAAAGGCGACACGAAGTGCTAACCACAGTCCATTATAAGACAGCGCAAATCACAAAGGTACAGACACACCAAGCGAATAGAGGCCGAAAAAGCAAATATAGTCTAATTCAAAGTCGAATCAATTAGTAAGTTTCAAGCATAAATATAAGGAAGATATATTGAATGCACCAAATGCTGCTCAGAAATTTCATGTTATTGTACAAGTTATGGTTTGTCCTGATGATTCACATATTTCTGGTGATATTTCCTATAAATCTGTGGAAAATATGTTGAATGAATCAAATCATGATCAAAAATCCGATGCAGTTTTGATAGATGCTAACTTTTCTAATGATCCATTATTCTCCAATCAAATATTTATAAATTTGAGGGAGATATTTCAGAAAAATCAGATTCTGATGTCATATGAAATATTATTTGTCCTCATAATGCATCTTTTTCTTGTCGGAAACTTATTCAATGAGAAGTACGAGTTCTAAACGAGTTCGATTTCGATTACAATTAGGATGATTTCTTATTAAATGTTGTTTATCCTTATGATGAAGTCACTTCTAATGAATCATCCAATCAATGTGAGAAATATGTTTTAAATGAAGCCACATCATTTATGACCTAGGAATATGAAAATCTAATCATATTTGTGGGGGAGGATAGTGTTGGAAAGTCTATGATTCGAATTCTAGATATCAGTGATTTCAGTACACAACCAACATGTTGATCATAGACAATCCCAGGAACCATGTGAGTCTGTCCCAATTTCATTTGTTAATTCTAATACTATTGAGTATATTCTAGATCATACAGAGTCTACATCCAATACACAGTCGGATAGACACATGATGAACCTAAGGAGAAGATATACAACAGACTGCAAAAATTTGGATTCTCATTTAAGGTGTGATTTTTGTAGGAATTAATAATTCATTTGTATTTGATGACAGTCTGATTTTGTATTCCAAATACATTACGTTCTTTTGTGCTTACCTAGTTCTGTTTGGTTTAAATTTCGATATTTCGAAGATTCCTAGTTGGTATAGTAATTCAAATACTTTTACTCAGCACACTGACGTATCGCAAGTTAAAATCAAACATTTTACTTGTTCCCTTTGGCTTTCTACATCTTATATTAGTTCGTATCAATTAATATCTTCGAACGAAATGATCACCATAAACTCCTAAACCAATGATAACCTTTTTTGCACTCCAAATAGGTTAGTAATAATGAGGAAATATAATCTATTTTGTTTCGTTTTACCGAATAATGTATCAAACAAAGTGAATAATAAATTCTTACTTTAAAGAGAGAAACTAAATTCCTATAAAGAGTATGATATTTCAAGCATACCAAATGCCTCATAAGGACAATAAGGTATTATTTGGATTTTCTATACATGTTCGATGCTTTCAGAACAAACCAAACTTTACGTTTCATCTTATTGGCACGACAAATGATTTTCATTCAATAAATAGTTCTGGAAATTTCAAAAATAATGATCGCAATATATAACCAGAAATTTGCAGGACAAAACTTGTCTCGGTCATGTTTGAGATCCAACAAACGTTGGTATTCGGTTGTGACCATTTGTAAGGTCATATTAGATTCTCGTTCATTACACACTAAAATTCCTATGCGAATGTCAACAGTTAGATTCTTCAATCTGAAGATAAAAATCAAACAGTTAAATTGATTTGCTGTAATTTCATTAATTTTGAATCGCTCACATTCTCGATGTACTTTTCTAGAATAAGTGAGATAATGATTGGATTAAGACTTTGATATTTGAAAACATTGATAGCGAATGTCGAATAGTGAGGACTTTCCTCCAAATATTTTAGATAACATTTGGGGTGTACCATTAAGAGATAAATCCCGAGGATTTTGTGGCAGTATGAAATCCACATATGTATTATATCAACCTGTTCCAAGTCTTCTATGAAGTAAGAGAAATTTAGGTTTATCATCGAGACTTGAGCATTCGACACGGAATATGTCTTCTAATAGATGAAACCAGAAATCGAATACGATACCAGATTCCGGATTAAAGTTGAATTCACGAATGAAATCTGCGATGCTTTCATATTTATCTGGTTGAGAGGTCGAAGTTGAATGAGACGAGGCTTCTGCGTCACTGTATCCAAAACCTCTGCTTCAGTTGCGTCTGCCCACGCTTGCTGAACTTGTAAAATGGTTGTAAGGTTGTCCAAAGACATAGATATTTTCTTTTTGGGCAATCAAAACAACAACAAAACTTTCATCGCCACTTTTGTTGCGTCCTTGATCTGTCTACCCAGTAATATACAGGAGAGAACTTGTCTCGATCTAGATTAAGGCCTTGACACGATAATCTAACCTATTTAACTGTGAGGCTAGAAATGCGTGAGTCCGAACTAAGACTAACGGCCTTGGGCAGAAAGATGAAAACTATTCTACCACATGATCGGTTGACAAGCGCGAGAGTGAGGAAGAAGACTAGTCAATTTATTCTTGATTTCCGATCCCAGATTAAAAAGATACATGAATAAATAAATGACTAACATGACCACAACGCAAAAAAAGTTAGAAAAATACAATGATGTCCAAACTAGGCGTTACGGTAGAAGAATAAAGTACAAAAGGTTACGTTTAAATTACTATATCTTTAGTACAGAAATGGGTGTGGCAGTGAATCATACATCAAACGAAAGCTTATGGTTTGTAGAATAACATAGGGAAAAAACTAATTGTTAGTATAGCTACTGTTATACACCATGGATTCTTTGTGTCTCTGTTCACATCAGTTTTATTAAATTGTTTAATAGAGTATTTATTGTTTTTAATGTTAAATCTAGAAAATTTTAATAGGTTATATTGTTCATTGTTCTTTTTGTTAGATTTTTCCTAATGTTAGCCAGTTTTAATGTTCCCATTGTATTCTATCCGCAATTAGTATCACTATGTATTGTTAAATACTAATGCAATTACTTAACATCTACTAATCAACGAAGACATTGATGAAACAGTAAAGCTTATACAAGAATGGTGAATTTTAAGGTGAAATTATTTTGAAAACTGTCCATATAAACAAAGATTGTATAGTCATGGATAATGACGATTAACAAAAGTGAGATTTTAAAGTAACTGTCATTGTGTAACGAACGTAGTTTTTGTTGAATTAAGCTGAATCACACACTGCATTTATAGAATGTGAAAATGATTCATTAAATATGCCATTTGCACATCTATGGACTCACTTATAAACTCCATCTTTCTTATATCTCTGTTGTTACTCGAAGTGCTTCTGTACTTTTTTTTCTCTTCATATTCCTATTCGTTCAATAAGAATCCCACTTCCAATTCTTGATACATACTACTTATATCTGTCCGTATAAGTAGCACACATCACAATAGCAGTTAACCAAAGTTCCAGTTAGCCATCACCTTAACTGAAGAGTGATACAATCAAATGGTTTCATCTATAACCACTAGTACTCATGCAGGTGCCAATTTAATATGATGTGACTTGTATCAGTTTAAAAGGGAAATAATTGAAAAGAAAATTCAACTGGGTTTAGTAAATGTAAGCAGATAATTTCAAGATCATACTATTGACAAATTACGCAACCTCGGTACAAAGATACAATAATGCTATTTCAACTCTTTTTAAAAAATATGAGTCCTTAAAGCATGTGGAAAAGTAAGTAGGAAAAGTTACAGTTTAACAAATGTAGATTTATAAGCATTAAATATTTCAATGGTTAAGATCATGAGTCAGTTGAAGCTAGACCACCATGGAAAACCTGGAAGCACTGGACGGCCGTTTCGTCCTATTGTGGAACTCTTCAGCAGTGCGCATCCACGACCTCGCCCCCCCCGCGAGATTCGAACCCAGGACCTAATGGTTTCGCGCGCGGGCACTTACTCAATAGACCACTGAGCCGGCATTCAACGGTGTTAATGTCAACTTCAACTAATCCACGAAATTACTATAATATCCACAAAACCCATCTAATATTGAATATTTGATGATAATTACTTCCTTTTTGCTTCATTTAATGCTTCAATAGAATAAGGTATCATGACTTCATGGTGCTTTTTTGTAAAGTTCATCCATATTAGTTCTTTTTCACTTCAGATACTTAAACGAACATGAACCTAGAAGAGAATTATTAATACAATATGAGATATTAATTAGAAAACCGAGATGTATAATTTAATATGCTGTACTTTGAGTGTAAAACAATGATTCTGTATAACAATATATGTGTAAATTTCATACAATAATTTACGATTACCACGTAAAACAGAAAGCTAGGAAACAAAATAGAACTATTCTATTGATTACCATAAAGTGGCTTGCTTAAATATTCGGGTTACCTGTTCCTGGCAACGGGACATTTCAATAAGTTATCTGTTTTCTTGTTTGTTTTAACACGTCATTATGCCTATTAGTCACATAACTTATTCAGGTGCGTTTGTGAAAAATTTAAGACATTTCTCTGTAAAAGCTATAAAAAAGACCGATCAGAGATATCTTGGTTGCTGGCAATATGCATCGAAAAAAATACACATTAATCAGATGTCTGTTCTTGAACTACTAACGTTTAACTGGCGACCACTCAATAATGATTGTCAGGACCGGTCAAGAAATAAGAAATGGAAATTTGTGCTTAGAATTCTATATTGTACCAGAAATATAATATTGAATAAAGCCAATAATAATAATACCATTACAGAATTAAACGAGGCTACAGAACAGTTCTGACTAAAAAGTCTTTCATTAATCTCGTAATAATAATAAATATCTCATCTAGTTTTATCCAATTAAATAATCTGAATCTCACGAGGCGGCATCATGGGTGCGCACTGCTGAGGAGTCCTACAATGGGACGAAACGGCCGTCCAATACTTCCAGATTTTCCATGATGGTCTAGCTTCAATTGACTCATGATCTCAACGATTAAAATTCGATATAACTTAAATTGTATACGATCACACTTTCATCATTCATCAAAGTCAACTACAGTTGCATAACTTGAACTTTTAAACTATTTTTTTTAACAAAAAACTCCGATATTCTATTCTTCTTAATATGTCACATAGTTATGAAGAATTTATCATAAACATTAGTCACAATCATACAGTTGTATACGTACTGGTGTACTTCATATTGTACTATTATAATTTTACGATGATGTCACTGTTAGGAGAATAATTTCACGTTTTATTCTTATGAAACTATAAAATCTGCATGGATACGAAACAACCAATAGGGAAACGATTTGAAAAAAATTGTATGAAATTTGTATGAAAGTAGACCATGTCTAATAGATATTAATTTCAACCAATCTAAGTAGCATAAAATAGTTAGTAGTGTACAAACAGGTATTCAAAACAAATGGAAAGCATTTGTTTGATTATTCAATCCTAATATTATTATTTAGGAAATATGTGTTTATTTCATAGCTTTAACAGTTCCTATGTATTGTTATACAGTATATGTGTCTGTTTCGAAATCAATAAAAGGACTGAACAAATTTGGATTGAATCAGTTTTAGTCAATTGTTAGATCAGTGAGTGTTAGGTTAGACGAAACACTCTAGTAAACGATCTAGGAAACTAAATAAAATAAAAAAAAATAGTTTAAATAGTTTAAATTAGAAAAATCATGAGTGGATCAAGAGCCAAACATAATTTTGCCAAAGAATGTGAAGATGCAATCAATAAACAAATCAATGTGGAACTACAGGCTGCTTATGATTATATGGCATTCTTCACTTATTTCGATCGAGATGATGTGTCATTTCCGAAAGCAGCTGAATTCTTTCGAAAAGCTTCACATGAAGAACGTGAACATGCAGAGAAATTGGCCAAATATCAGAACAAACGTGGTGGTCGTGTTCAATACAGTGATATCAAGTGTCCAACTAAGACAGAATTCAGTGGTTTGGAGGATGCTATGAATACCGCCCTTGGAATGGAAAAAGCAGTTAGTAATGTAAGTCAGAACACTAATTACTTCTTAATTACCTTTGTTTCACCAATTGAGCTACTTTTTAAATTGGTTTATTTGTGTGGACATTAAGAAACCGGCCGAACAACCGTGAGGTCATGACCTGATACCATGAATTAGAAGACAGAAAATATGAATGTTCAATTTATGATGAATAAAAAACAAAAGAACCTGCTAGGGATTTATTGGTTTCACATGATCATTGAACTTTCTTAAGTTATATATGTATGGTTTAAATACATAGTTCAGAAGTGGGATCTAGGTTCTGACATAGGATTTAGGGTTAGTTTATACATTCTGTAAAATCTAGTCCTGACTAGGTCTTAGTGCTGACCTGAATTTTACCCTCAGAACTAAATTTAAGAGATATTGCATCGAAATATGCTACTTCATGTTTCTTTGAACCGATCCGTAATCACTTCATTATGCCGCTTACATGTCAGTATTTTCACTAATTTTAAGCCTTATAAGTACTAAGTGATAGTTTATTCATCAAAACGAACCGAAAAACTGCTAGCAGAGAGCATGTTAGTTTGATGATTAATCCATGACATTGGAGTCACTTACCCCATACCAATCGATTATTTTTACTGTTTATCTGTTACAGAAGTAATTGTTTACTCCTTTATATTTAAATTCATTGTTCACTACGAATATTTACCGAATGGCAAGTAGTTTCCAGTTGTTTGAATTGAAGATGAAAAAAATGAGTAGGATATCTTGATTAGTTTGGCTTTAGACACATTTAAAAATTCTGTTATTTTACAGAAATATAACTGAACACGAGGTATAGCTCAAATAATATTCAGATAAAGAAAACTTAAATCCACTGATGGATGAAATACATTAAGGGTGATAATGTACTTAACCATATTGAAGCTATTACTTTAATTAATTCATTTAAGGTTGTATGGTGTCTATCTGTCAGTTGTTTCTCTAATCTTGTAAGATGTAATTCATTGACTGTTTTTATACGCATAGTGGATAAACAATTACAGTATAGAACTAAAGTGTAGACGACTGTTTCAATTATGGGTATTGTGTTCTACTGTGAATATAAACCACTTTAGATTCTATTTTATAAATCGTTTTTAATGCAATGACTTACATGTTTATGTTAAGAAAATTTAGTTACACAGCGAATCATCAGTTAGCATTTCAGTTAGATTTCTATTCCGTGGTGTTGTAAATAGTCAGTAAAATTTAAGTTCTATAGTCAGTTACGTTCTCAATGAGTTTGTAATTCTCCATAAAACTATTCAGTTTGATCACTAAGTTTCTTGTATTTTAATGTCTGTTTACTGTGGTTTCGCATCAATATTTCAGTTTTAGTGGGTAGTTATTGGTCATATAGATTATTTGGGCTCCTTTGTTGGATTAACCACACAATCTAAACTCACATGATTGCACAATATCCCACTGTTTCATCATTTTGGTGTCATTGGTTATCTCTTAAAATATGAAATCCTAACAAATCAAAACATTTTTTTGGCATTGTTAACCATAGGGTTGTTAAGTTAACAATACCATAGAGACAGTCAGGTGTACTCTGTCTGCTGATAGTTAATTATATATTACTCTGAATAAATATCGTTTTCATATTAAACCGATTTCCAGCTACGTATTCGTACGTAGCTTAATATGGAACTCTCCCCTATACCAAAACGAGGTCATGTAGAATAGCACTGATATTCATCGTTTGCACATGATTATTTCATAAAAATTTGTACGGAGTTGACCAACATGTTCTTTAGATACTTCATTTCGATTACACATTTATCGAGAACACAGCGCATACATTTAGTATGTAGTTTCTATTACGTATCGACCTTATTTAGACAACCACTCAAAACTAGGAAACGTTGGATAGCTGTTTACTCTTAGTTTGGGAGTCGCTGGGGCTTATCCAAACTCAGAACCTTAAGGTATCGCTACAAGCGCTCAACCTTTAGATAAATGAGCGATTACCAATCGTTTGTTAGTTCGCGATATTTCTAAATCCGTGTTCAATACCACTGGTGATACTTATTTCACACCTGACACGGTTAAACTTCACTGGTCGCAATTTCCCTATGGAACTCTAGTGACTACCTTTCGGAATTCGTCATTTTTTTACGTTACAAAACCAATTATTCAGTAATCATTCTATTACTTTTTTCTCTTAGTCATTATTAGAACTCCATGAAGTAGCTTCAAGGAACAATGATCCAGGATTAACAGATTTTATTGAAAGTGAATTTCTTCATGAACAAGAAGATGCAATTAAACAATTTGCTGATTATTTAACAGAAACACAACGAGTTGGTAAAGGACTTGGAGAATATCTATTCGATAAATTAACATTAAATGAATAGAGTGATTTTAATTATTCTATTTTAAATGACATTCCTTATTATCATGATTTCATTTGATACAGCATAGTTTATTTGTTTTTAAAAATAAAATTTATTTGTAAATATATCATATTTACTTCAACAATATAACCATCTAGTTCTAATATACTTTACTTTGTCAATGTCTTCTATAAGCTTATCACGTTTTTCGTTCGTGTTTAAATAAAGCCAATGTTGTTAATAATCGATAAGGCGAGAAACAACTAATCGAATATTCTGTAACCCTATATGATCAGTGAACTAGACATAAAAATGTTAGAATAGTCCAAATGATATAAATGTGAATTAATTTCTTTATCCTTATAGTTTGCATATGGATTAAACGGTGTATATCATTTTTCACTTCATAGTATAAAGGTTTTATAGTAATTCAAACTTAGGGTTATCCGTAGCATTTTAATTGTTCCGTAAGTATGTCTGCAATGAAAATTACACAGTACTTTGTATCACTTACCTATTAAATGAGCATAAAAATAACTAATAGTATCGAATACAGTAGGATTATGGAATATTAGAAGTGTTGTGTATAACCTGAACAGAATTTAAAGTGAGATCTTTTAAAATAACAAATTGATATAATTGTTACGAGTTATAAACATACTCAATCAAGGAGAATTAAGTGAAATCATCTCCATTTATAGTGGGATGTACACAGTTAACATGAGTTTTCAGATAAATAGTAGTGTCTAACTTTCTGGGAAGGATTACCGAAAACATTATCAGTTTGATAAAGTGACGTAAAATAGATCTTATATAAAAGAAAACAGTAAGAACTTCTGCTCTGAAGCAACTAGTCGATACTTGTCACCGCAACGAAAAAGTTAACGTTCAAAATTTCCCATAGACTTATTCCATGCTTGCAGGATTCATCTATTACATACAATAAGTGTTATGGGAATACATTGAAATAAATTGAATCTTTGTGCACAGGAGAAATTTGTACAGCAGTTTAACTTACCCTGACCTTCTGCATAATTATGCATATGTAGTTTAAGCTCTTTTTTTGATCTTATTCAATTCTAATTTTATTCTTGTGTAATCTGCCTTTATATGATCATCTAATTTTCTTGGAATTATCTTCATGAATAACACTAAATATTAATATTCAGTTGCTTAGTTTCAAAACTACTCAATTTTGTTTCCTTATTCTTATGTGACCAGCTTCAATAATTAGCTGACTATGTAATTTCTCTTTACTCTAGACTTTGAATCTATTGAGTTTCTAATTGACTAATATCTCTAGAGAAAATATTGAAATACATTCTTAAACTGACCGACCACTACCTATTTAGTATTGACATCATACTTTATTGTAATGTAAAGCTATAGTGAGAAACCAATTGTATTCTTATCTCAATGGGGATATATTAGGATTTATTTAAATTTGAATTAAGAACTTATTCATCTGAATAACTTGATTTAAATCAAAGTTTGATGCTTGTTGTGGACTGTAATTCAAGTATTTGAATAATTGTGACGCTACTCAAGGGGTAAAATGGTAAAAAGGAATTAATAGTCCACAAAACAAATACAGGTAAGTTATGCAGAGATTACTTGCAAATAATCAGTAGTTACGCGTTCACAAGGTTCAAATGTAATTTTACAAATTATGAAAGAAGACTTTTAATTCAAAATATGGAATGCACTTCAAGATGATGACCAATTAATGACCAAGATGTGGTTGAGATCCACAAGTTCTAAATATATGTAAAAGTATGTTAGAGATCTGTTGATGTTGTACCAAACTGAGAGAAAACGAAATGTTGTATATGCAGCACTTACATTCAGTGAATGTTAATCATTGAGGGTGCACGGGGAAATGCAGTATCGATCCAACGTTTTCTTAGTTAACGATAATAATTCTAGAGATTAAAGAAGTTATGGGAAACGTGCAACATGACAAAAAGGTTTACAAATTAGGTCAACATTAATCACCTCCACATGTTTTGTAAATGAGATGATTTTGATTTTCTTAGAAAATATTCAATTGAAATAGATTTTAAGCATTACATTACATTAAAGAAGCATGGAGAGTTGTGGCGTGTGCGACTTATGTCGAAAAACATAAATAGTATGTAACACCAATTAAAGTTGAATGGCTGGCAGTAGAAGGATAAGAAGATTGAGTTGGAGATAACAAAAACGGAAATACAAAGGAATTGTGAATTGGAAGAACTGTATAGAATGTGAAGGACAATTGATGAAGGATTTGCAAACGAAGTATTTAATGTATGGTTCTCATATTTTACGAAAAGATCCTGTAATTTTGTATCGAACAATAAATTAGCTGTTCCCACCTGTGTCTCATACACTACAGACTAAATGATGAAAGTAAAAATGTAG